AAAGAGAGAGAGAGAGAGAGAGAGAGAGAGAGAGAGAGAGGGATATGTGTAACATTTCTTTTAATCTGTCTACATACATTTTACGAAAATTTTATGCATAATAATATTTTCACCTAAAATAAAGAATTACAACATATATACAATACAATTCTAATTAGTGATAATAGAAAATATGTGACTTATAAAACTACACACTATTAATTTCAGATTTGGAAAATAAAATTCAACCTTCAACATACAATTTTTTTTTGTGATGTTGAAATTATAAATACACACAATAACTACCTATTGATACTGAAGTTACTTTGTTCCATCTCCTCCATGTAAAATATTGTGATCTGGCATTTTTTTGTGCCTGAAGCTTTACCTCAAAGACGGTGGTCTTATGATATAAAATATATTACTTCTAAAACTTTATATTATTAAGTCCATAATTTGAATCTATATATACCCGCACATGGTGCGGACCGGTCACCTAGTTCATAATTAAATGAGACTTCCAAACATAAACTGGATTTCAAATCTACAAATAATCTTACTTGACTCAATTTTTTTTAAAACCCATAAAAAGTTTCAAACCTAAATTAAACCGTAAACCGGATCATCCACTTACCGATAACCATTGGAAAACAAAATTGTCATACGGCAACAAGTTATGAGAGAAAGCCCAATAGGCCTAATATTTCAGGTATCAAATTAACTCACCGCCAAAGTCTTGTCACGAGACCCTCACGTGATCACCGCTATAGATTCCGGTGCAGAGAAGAAACAAACAACGGAAGAAGATGGAAGGAAGAGTCATGAAAGACGCGGCGGTGGAAGATATTGCGACGAGGCTTTCCTCTCTCGACGACCTATACTTCCCACGCGCCGTCCAATCAACAGCTGTATCTTCTGACCAACGTAAATCCATCCTCCTAGACCTTCTCCGTCGTGATCCCGCCGTTTTCCTTGGTAATTTCTCGATTGCAACACTAACTTCTCTATATCGCTTCGGAACCGTATGAATTTTCGTGCCTAGTACTATCATTATCGAGACCGTTATGCAATTATAGAGTGAATAAACCCTAACGCAATCTTAATCGTTTGTTTTCGCTCACAGCGTTTGTGGATCATAGTTGAGTTTTAGATGAATTGCTATTGAAACTTAGCTTTTGGATTTGATTTGCAGAGCGTTATGGACCGAAGCTAAGTGTAGACGAATTACTCGAGTTTGATGCTTTGAAACATGACTACGAGGTTAATTGGCACTTGAAAAGCCTGAGGAAAAAGATAAGTCCTACTTCAGAGGAGCTGAAATCGAGATCTGTAGCTGTGAGGAATAGGAGACTGGCTTACTTGAACAAGCTTGTATCAGAAGGACAGTACTTCTCTGAGGATGCTATGAGAGATAGAGAGCCGTATCTGCACCACGAGTATGTTGGGAAGTTTCAGGATTCGATTGGTAGGAACATGGCTAGGCCTGGGGAACGTTGGTCAGAGACGTTGATGAGACGGGCAGAGGAGGCTACGTTGGTTTCTAGGATTAGGGAGGAGCAGCAGAGGTTAGGTGTTGCGGAGTGTGATTGGGTTGGTGGTAATGAGAAGATGGAGGAGTCAGAAGATGAATCTGAAGTTGAATCAGTGGAAACAGAAGACGAGGAAGAAGGGGAAAAGCAGACAGGAGCTAGCTCAAGCCTTGCAGAGGTAACTTGTTTATTGCTGTGTATGTTGGTTTATTCATTTGTGGTGCAAAATCCTTTTTTTACACTTATTATTTTCAGGTTGGTAGAGGAGAGAACAAGCAGGGAACAGTTTTACCGCCAGAGGAGATGCAAGAGATGATGGAACAGTTCACATCAATCATGCAGCAGAAGTTCTTAGCAGGAGAAGATCATGAGCATTTGGATTACACAAAGATAGACAATGACGAGAACCTTGATGATCATTGGCTTCGAGAGGTTGGCCTTGACGCTGAAGAGAAGTACTTTGGTGATGACTAATGGACGCAGTCAAATTTCCTGCTCGTTGTAAGATTTAATCCCCCCTTTCTCTCCCTGTGTCTCTCTTTATCCAAGAAAACATTGATTGTTGGATAAAAAAGTTACTTATCTAGGATAGATAGCGATACCAAGATAATATCTTATGATAAAGAGAGTGATTTCATCTTTGGTAGGAAAGCTTAGGAAAAAGTCCAACCACCAAGACAGTAACATTTGGGTGTGTGGTTTTGGTTGAGAGATTGTCTTTCAAATCTCCTTATGTATATAGTCTTTACTGTTTCTTTTTCCGTTGGTTGATAATTATTTTGTTTGAATTGAGTTAGTGTGTGTATGTTTTAGTCAATGTAGAGATGCAGGCTTGAGATTCCCATGAAAACGAATATTATAAAGGCTGAAAGTGTTTTCATTCATCACAAAAGAAAAATATATATAGTGGAAGAGTGGAATGGTAAATTAATGGACTGTTTTTTTTAGAGAAAGTGATGGAATGATAGAATTTGAATATTCTTTTGGTAAAGATAATCTGATGTTCTTGCCGAATTTGTATTGTTCTTTTTAAAAGAAAATTGCAAAAGCAAAAACATATATGTGGCCACGTAGAGAGTCAACGAGCGTCGTGTAAAGAACTGCCACGTGGTGAACTAGAAGATGGTGGCTGGACTTGAACTCCATATATCCACTTTCTCTCTGAGTGGCTGCCGATTCACCGCCCCACTTCCTCGCCCCCCTCGTCTCCCGGAACTTTATTCTTTATTGCCTATTTTACCCCTCTAGTATTTGTTTTCACAAAACCAAAAATCTAACGGTTAAATTTGATAAAAAAATAAAATCTTTCTGTACCAAACAGACAACTTGCGGAACAGAAAAATACAACAAGATTCGAGAAAAGAAAGGAAGAAAAAGGCTTTCATTTCAAAACCCTAGAGCTCAATTAGATCTCACCGGCATGAATCGCCGGTGAAGTTGTACTATATACAGAGAAAGATTCGTAAGGGATTTTTGAATCATGTATAGAGAGAGAGGCACGGTTGGTTCTAGACCGGAGGTCGCGGATCGCAAACGGATCAACCAAGCTCTTGAACGACCTTCTCCGTCCACGTCTCTTCAAGCTAACGGCAAAGGAAAAGGAACCGTTACGGCGACGGCGCTCTCCGTGAAGCAACCGCATGACCATCGAGATTCGCGTTCTGCTTCTCTCTCCAAGAATAACGTTTCAGACGGTTAGTTTTCTTTTCCTTTTTCTCTGAGACTTGACCTTAGAATTAGATATATGTGTCTCCTGATCTGGGAATCAATGAATGTTCATGTTTGGTAATCATGTTACTAAATAAAACAAAACGAACTAAATTAAACAAAACGCTTTTATTATAACTTAATTAAACAAAACGCTTTTATTATAACTGAATCAAGCAAAACGCTTTTAACCAAGCAGGACGCTTATATATTGTTTATTGTGGAGATATTGGTTGTTTCACTTGTGTTCATTAGCTGTATGTAACTGATGAAAGTATTTGTGTGTGTGGATTTGATTGGTGATAGATGAATCAGACACTGAAAGTGAAGAAGAATCTGATGTCAGTGGTTCAGACACCTCATGGATATCTTGGTTCTGCAATCTTAAGGGAAACGAGTTCTTCTGTGAGGTTGATGATGATTACATCCAAGATGACTTCAACTTGTGTGGACTCAGCAGTGTAGTCCCGTACTACGAGTACGCTCTTGATTTGATTTTGGATGTAGAGTCTTCTCATGGTAAGTTTCTTTTCATCCAGAACTAGTTTAGCTGTAGGCAAAGAATCTGCATTAGATAGTGAAACCAATATGTATGTCTCGTGAATGTATGATTTGGGATTGGGTCGGTAACAACAGGAGAGATGTTTACAGAGGAACAGAATGAGTTGATTGAGTCAGCTGCGGAGATGCTTTATGGACTTGTTCACGCTCGTTATATCTTGACAACCAAAGGCTTGGCTGCAATGGTATTAAAAAGAACAAACCTTGGGTACTCATTTTTGCATATTTTAAAACTCTGTTAAAAGATTCATGTATTGGTTCTTATCCTTGCAGTTAGATAAATACAAAAACTACGACTTTGGAAGGTGTCCTAGAGTTTATTGCTGTGGCCAACCTTGTCTTCCTGTTGGTCAATCGGATTTGCCGAGATCAAGCACGGTGAAGATATATTGCCCTAAATGCCAAGACATTTACTACCCACGTTCAAAGTATCAAGGCAGTATCCTTTTTTTACTTCTTCCTGATACATACATATCTATAAATGCAGGTTCTGAAAACATTCCAATATAGTAGTCTGATGTTTGATTCTTATGCATATATCAATCATCCTTTTTGAGTTTGCGTATAGATCTTGCAGCTGTTGTTGAGTTTTCTTGGGGTTTCCTTAAAATGATGAATAAGACATTGATGGAGCTTACTTTGGGACAACGTTTCCACATCTGTTCTTGATGACATATGGAAATCTCAAGCCACCAAAAGCAACACAAAACTATGTTCCAAGAGTTTTTGGTTTCAAATTACACAAGCCGTGAGTGAAATTTCAAGATAAAACAGGCAAGGGAATGAAGATCATGGCTTGCGATTGTAAAAGCGAAACAAGGAGCATTTGTAATCACCAAAGGTGAAGAAGCAACAATGTCTTTGTTTGTCATCAGGTATATATACACATTAGAAGCAAGCCAAAAAAACCTTTTGATGTTAAATTCTGAACTTGTATTTCCTACGTTTAGTAATTTTCTTTTTCTTTTGTTTTGTTTATTCCCTCATTGTCAGATGATATCAGTCAGTTCAATCATATATTAAAAACTGTTCCTGTTTAGCCAGCTTATTACAAAATTCACACTATTTTCGAGAAAATATTTGGTAAGTCTAAGACGGCCAGAATTGAAGATGAAAATAGGTTTATTCTTCTTAGAATCTTAGTCTAAGGGAAAATAAGCCTAGTTGTGGAATGTTATGATCTAAATGTTTATGATTTGGTTACTTTAGATTAGAGTTCAAGATTTAGGTTTATAATCTAGTTATATTAAGGTTTGGTGATTCATTAGTATAAAAAAAAATATAAACTTTAAAAATATAATATCATTACTTTCTTTTAGATATTTAAAAATTTTATAAATATTTTTCCTTTTAATTTTGATAACTATACAATTTTTATATGAATATTTTTATTAATTTTATACAAATTGATTTAATATATTTAATCAAAATACATAGATAAAAAAAATTATCTAAGATTATTATTTTAAATATATACATACATATTCTTAATATAATGTAAAATTATAGAAATATATTTTTCTCTGAATTTATGCTTAACTAAACAAAATTGATATTAAATATTGCTCAAAATAATAATCTATTATATAAACTTGTGTATCCTTCCTTCTAAGGCTATCCACGTTAGATGCCATGTCACAAAGTCTACTTAGACAAGCCACGCGTTCAACCGAGTAAATCTTTGCGTTTCATTAAATCTTTTTGTACTGGGCTTTTTGACGTTTCATTCTCCCTCTCCGATTTGAAGACCAGACGATGCTCCTCCACCGTTCAAGTCCGGTTGCTTGAGTCAGAAGACGTCCAACGCGGTGGCGAATTCAGGGAGAGTCGATATGTTGCTACTTGGATTCCAGGTATGTTATGTTCCTCCGTTTGAGCCCATAAGAAGATTATTTTTTCTTATTTAAATGTCTCCGTCGTCTTCAAACGTTATTACCAACAATTCCTGTTTAGATCTTTAGAACTGATTAAGGATTGTTTTTAAATATTTTCTGATTATATATTTGGATTGTCTGTTGTGTTTAATCCTTAATAACAAAACTAGAACACCGTGCTGCTACGCGCGGATTGTGTACTATAAATTTATAATTTATAATTATATAAACTATTGTATGATAGGTCAATTATGTGTATAATTTTACTTTTTTTTTGATATTATTAATAGTCTTATTTATCTTATATTATATTATATATATATTTAAATAATATTTTGCACAATACCTAAGATGCATAAGATTTGAATAAGTTAAGGATTGTGACCTTTTAAAAAATTACAATCTAATGATGAAGTGTTCTCAAAGTAAAAAGAAAACCAAGTAAATGCATGTAACATCATTCAAATTACCACATTTTTAGAAAAACAAATTATATATTTTTTTAGGTTATTGATTTGGTTCTATGGACATTTATGTGGATTATTTACAATTAAATAATCAAATAATTGTAAATATTACTTGGATGTACCATGGAATTTAAGACTTTTTAGATTCATACAAAAATTTCATTTTTTCTGTTGATCTACGATAAAATTATGCAATCTTTTTCTCAATAGTTTGTCCCTCCTAGTTTAATTTTATTATTAATTATTATGTATAAAATATAATTAGCATAGTTTTCCGGCTCTGGTTGGAAAGAAAGCAAGATCACACCAACTTGGGGAGAAAAATGTTGTTTTAAGAAAAAAAATATTTCAATATGAGGTTAAACACATATGATGTTCTCTTCTAGGATTTTACTTAAGAGAAACAATGTGGGTATTGGTTTATCCAGTTTAATGGGCTAGAAATTTTGTACCTTTTTATGATCTATTTAAAAGATGTTAATTGTGTACAAAAAAATAGATTAATTTTAGAGAGACCTAGAGTAGTAAAAAAATTGGAGATGTTGTTTTGTTATAACAGATTATTTGGCTGCTGTCATTTTAAAATATTACGTGCAGGTTTTGTTACTTTTAAAAAATAGTTCTATAAAATACTAATAAAACATGTTAAATTATATATATATATATATATATATATATATTTTTTTTTTTTTTTTTTTTGATAAAGTAAATTTGATATATTTTCTAAAATAGAGCTTTCTATTTATGTTTCATATAATATTAGATTGCATGATTTATAGGTTTTGACTGATATAATGTAAATGAATGCGTGAAATAATATATAATTCTTTTTGAACCCAGTCTTAGCTAGTTAGCATAATTGTTTTTGGAAAATCATATTATTTCTAAAAATATTTTTTGCATGATTTCATCTTACTCATGATTTCTAGAGCATATATATATAATCTTAGATATTCCTAAAAATCATGGCTTTTTAGACATCATTGTTGTGGAGTTTATAAACGCTTTCAAAAGTGAGTTCTTAAGCTTTGACTTTGTCAACCCCTCTCCCCAATGTTATAACTTGTATGATAGTTTCCGAGTGAAAGCAACCATCGTCAATCACTCACCCCAATATAACCTTCAGTCGGCCAGCAGAAGGTCTAGTGGTTGTTGAAAGATAATAATTGCTGAATTAATTTGTCTTCAAAACTAACTTCCAAGAGATAGTTCTCTATATATACCTCATTTGAACAGTGGTAGGCTTTTTTATACATGCAAAAACGTAACAACACTCTGCGTGTTTTTTTTGTTAAAAAATGAAAGCTATTTGGAAAAAGCTTTACTGGACTATTGCACAAATATGCACACTTTTGAATACCAACTTTTCTTCACCTTGTAGTTAGGATTTCCATTTTCATCATAATCGCTTGAGAACATTTGATCCCCTTTCTTTAACTTAACATATAAAGAAAATATTTATTTCACTTCATCTTCCAACTTGTATAAAAAAACGCTTTTGCAGTTTCATTTACATTTCGCGATAACACAGCAATTGTATTTTGTCAAGCGACAAAAACAAACAAAATATGTGATTACAACATTATTCCTGTCGTTTGTGAATCATCCCCATTGTTGTGGTAAGCTGCAGAACATTGTAAATAAAAGAGATATTGTAAAAGAGAAGAGCAACTCTGAAAACTTTAATCTTGCATGCACATTGGGAAGAAGAACCTTGCAAAGCATGACCTAAATGTATTTCTAATGTCAAAGAGCTGAAAAGAATAACTGCTATCTACATATAAAAAAAAAAACAAAATTGTCTGGATGAACAAAGGAGTAATCAAATTGACATTAAGTAGACAACATGGAGACCGCAGGTTTAAGAGGGAAAATACTTGAGCACGAAGAAGGTTCATAATTCATGCCACTCTCCAGCTGGATCAACGTACTTTACTACTACGATGACAACACTGGCACTCTCACGCCTCATATGTGCTGTTTTGGAGAAAATATATTATTTCAAAGTCACAATTAAAACAAAGAGAACGGCAGTAAAAGAAACCTATTCTCCACTATGAAATCAGAGAAGATAAGAAAATTATATTTCATTTGATTTACAAACCTGAGATCAGATTTGATTATCAGCTTAACGTCTATTAACTCTATGTCACTCAATTAGGATGGTCAGCAAGACTTAGTGTCGATACCTCAACCACAAACTCCCTGATTCCTTGAGCACCATTACAGTCAAGTTGCTTGATTGCAACAACCTAACCAAAAACGATAACTTGTTCAAAAACTCTGACAATCACAGCAACGTGTTCAAGAAAAGAACAGTAAGTAGTACCTGATCAAGTTTCTCTATAGTTTCCTTGAAAACGTTTCCAAAATACCTCCTTCACCTAGAAAACAATCGGATCTAAAAATTCCCAGTGGCAACTGCAAGCTCTTGGAATGTAAAGTCTGAGATTTTTTTCGTGTGGCTTGGTCGTTTAAATTTAAACCCTTGACGTCAAGAGCTAACTGATCCTCCTTCTCCTAAACAACTACTTCATTGTTTACTTCTCGATATGGACTGACTTTTGACGAATCTACAAACACATGTAAAGAGAACCAATTAATCAGTTAATTATCATTTAAGTTAACCATAACAAGATACGAATATACAAATGAAAACCCAAACTTTGACATATGTCTCCTTTAGGACAAGACAAAACCTAACTCTTATCACTCATACGGCAAAACAGTACACATGCATCAAAATTCTTCCGAGAGAATCACATCGTGAAATAGCCATCCCCAATGTAACAGATACAGAGAAAAACATAGTAAAGAAAGAGAACTTTGAGCAACGATTACGGTAGAAAATCACTCTGTACCTGAACAGGGTTGAGTCTGATCCTCTCTCTTATCGCTTGTACCATTCTTGTTTTTCACAGTATCGTCGTATTTATCTTTGTTAGGCTCCAATCGTTTGCTTGATCTCCCGGTGGAAGCAGAAGAATCCCCCATTGGTTGAGCAGTCGCGGAGGATGACATAATTTTCTTGTTGGTCTTCTCGCCGGTAGGGACTGAAGATTTGGCTTTTGGTTCCATCGGAAATGTTTGAGAGAGAGCAGAGGCTCTAATAAGTTTAATCCAAACATAAGGTAAGAGGGGAGATTTATAAGTACAAAGTTGGGGAGGAAGCTCAAGGGATAAATCCATTGAATGACAGGAACCGAAGAATTGATAAGATTGAAGAAGACAATTGTTAGAGCAGAGAAAGTGGGTTAGATTACTGGAAAAACTGAAGTGAAGTTATCGCAGCTGAGGAAGTCTAAAGGGAGAGGGGATATGGAATTGCCGACAGAAAACCAAACCCAGTTCTGATAAGATTAAACCGTGATATTTGAATTTTGTACAGAACCGAAATTGAATTCGGTTTCATATGTCCAAACCAAACATGACGTGGATGTTTGAAACCCTCAGATTGGACGAATATTTCTGTCGATGTGGCACTGTGAGATGGATTTATTTAAGCTTTTTAATAGTGTTTGATTTTCTGATTATTTTTTTCTTGGACATATATTCAGGTGACCATATTGCCTTCGCCGGTTTGCAACTTACATGCCTAATCTGAAGATAGGTTCATTGGATCCTCTTGATGTCTTGCATATTTCTATTGTTTTATCCATTCATCCATATGTATTTTGATCATATAGACTAGGATTTAGTCATTTTTAGGTTGCATTTTGCATACATAAGTCTTTATCAGGTGTTGGAGTGTGCCATAGAATGATTTGAGATGTTTGGGAGTATTGTGATCCAAAAAGGGTGAAAGATGAGCATGAATGGAGCCTTTAAAGAAAGCTTCTGTTGCTAATATTTTGTAGAGACACAGAAAATTGAGTTATCTTTCTAATGGAAGTGGTTTCAAGTCATTTGAAGATGTAATAAAGGAGTTATGACCAATTTACTAGAGGCATATCCACCCTGTTCGAGCATCCTGGAGCGGCCTCTCAAAGCGACCTACCAAGGTCGCTCCCAGCCAGAGCGACTTCCTGGAGCGAGGAACCTAGGTCGCTCGCCTTTTTATCAAATCCGAAAGGAGAAATAGTCCCTGGAGCGATCTCCCGGAGCGACGTCCATAGGTCGCTCCTAGCCAGAGCGACCTCTCGGAGCGACGTCCATAGGTCGCTCCCAGCCAAAGCAACCTCCTGAAGCGACGTGGCGAGGTTGCTCAGCGTGTTTTGTTTGGACGGTTTTTATGTTATTTCAGGGGTCTTTTGGTCATTTTTGTTGTTGTTTTACATTGCCTAAACCTAAGTTAAGTACTTTTGTAAGCCATGGGAGGTAGATTATCTCTTTTCTAAAGAACAACTAGTAAGACTTCTTTTGATTCAGATTTCATTACTTTCATCTTGTGTTCTTGTTGATTTCTTATCTATTTCTCTACGTGATTAATCTGAAATCCAATATGGGTTTAAGAGAAATCATGGAGATTAGTGAGTAATCACCTTTTGAATTCATGGATTAGGGAGATTAAGGATGATTAGGTTAGTTCTAGGCTATTTTAGTGTAGATCATTCTTGTTCCTTGCTAGTAGAGTATTCATAATGCATCTTCTGAGTTGGCCACTCAAAAGTTGATCAATAGGAATTTCCCACCCAAAAGGTGTTTGATGAAATGCCTGAGACAACTCTCCTAGGCTTTTAGTATACTTTGCCAACGACATTTGTTGTTAAAGATGCTAAGATAGCTAATAGACTTGTTAGTAATGATTGCTTTCATATTATTCAACCAAAGACATTTGATGTTTGAGATATATTAGCAAATGAGCATTCATCTAGACATAGAGCTTGTTTAGAATTGTTTCTAGGCTTAAGGTCGATAGTTTGATTGATCATTTGCCATCCTTAGTTCAAAACTTGATCACCCAAGGTGTAATCCCTATACCCTTGAGTTCTCTTTTCCCTTAGTCAAGAAAGTATCATTCTGTTATTGCTTTCTAGTATTAGTAGTAGTTTAAAATCATCTAAAACATTGGTTGCACTTAGATTAAGTTAGTACTTGCATTCTCGGTGCTTTGATATCCCTCAGAACTGGTTCGACAATCTTTTATACTACATCATTTGTCTTAGGAGCCTTGAAAACTCCTAACTTCAAATTGGCGCCGTTGCCAAATTCTGAGTAGATTTAAACATTGAGATTTAGTCACTTGCTTGAGACTAAGTCATTTTCTTTTACTTTGTTACTGATTCTCCACCTTTATCTCTCTTTGAATTTAAGGTGTATGAACTTGAGGAGCAAAGGCACAACAAACCTTGTTCCACGAGTTCCAGATATCCGGGCGTTTGAAAGAGAGATAACAAGACAGAAAAAACAAGCAGATCAACAAGCTCAACAACTTGGATACTGACGTGGAAATCCCACCAGAAGGAGTTAACAACCATTTACAGCACCCACCAGTGCACCCAGCCCGCCCCATTGGTACCTATGACCGCCCAAACCTTCATGGCAATAGGTTGGGAATCAGAGCACCAGCTGTGGAGGCCAACAACTTTGAGGTAAAACCAAGACTCCTCAACGTGATCGAGAACACGTATCATGGCTTGCATGTAGAAGACCCATTTGATCACTTGGACAAGTTTGACAGCTACTGTGGGTTGTCAAAGACCAATGGTGTGTCTGAAGATGCCTTTAAGCTCAAGCTAATCCCTTTCTATTTGAGGGATTAGACACGTCTGTTGGAGAAGTTTCTACCCAGCGACTCTATCACCACCTGGGATGACTGCAAGAGAGCATTTTTGGAGAAATTCTTATCTACTTCAAGAACTGCTAAGCTGAGAAATGAGATCTCCAGTTTTCAACAGAAGAACTTGGAAGGATTCAGTGAAGCCTGGGAAAGATTCAAAACCTACAAAGCTCAATGCCCACACCATGGTTTCTCCAAGGAAAGCTTGCTAAGTACATTCAACAGAGGTGATCTTCCAAAGTACAGAGCCAGATTTGATACTGCTAGCAATGGGTACTTCTTGGGAAGATCTGAGGAAGATGCAGAGGAAGCTTGTTGACAACATGGTGAAGAGTGACGCAGTCTACAGTGAAGACCACGACAGAGGCAGTAGAGGTGATGATAAGCAGACAAGGAAGGAACTAAAGGCTCTACAAGATAAGATAGAAATACTCATTGCAGAAAAAAGCTACTCAAGAGCAGCTGAACTTTGTTGGTAACACTAACCAAGAATCATATCATGTGGTCAATGAGGTTGACGGTCTAGAAGGTCAAGAAGAGTTGTGTTTCATCAACACCAATGGCAGTTGGTACAAGAAAGAACCCAACTTTCGGTACAACAACTACCCACAAGGAGGATACTGTTGGGCCCAAATACGGCCCGTTAGCTGAAATTAACAGGCTCGAGCAATAAGAGTTGACAATGGGCTATCATAAGCCCATAAGCAATTAAATCTTTGAGAAAGGAGTTAAGAAGAAGCCGGAGGCTGTTTTTGCTCAGGAAGAAACGTTAACAAAGCAGGTCACGAAAGAGAACTCCAGACCTCATTTACAAAGAGCTAGTAGGAGTAGCTCAAAACAGATGCACAGGACCCGGTCAAAAGGAGATTGTTGAGAATCCCTCAATTCACGGAGCAAATCTCAGAGGTTAGCTAAGGTCGTTGGAGCATGGCCGAGAGCTATAAAAAGAGGAGGAGGAGATCATAACAAGGGTCCAGATTTATTCATTATTTACATATTCTAGAATTCTACAAACATTCTTTATCCTTTGTAATCACAAATCGTTACGCTTGTAATCATCTTTTACCAAGAACATTCAATACAATCATATTCATTCTTTAAGTTCTAAACAAGATTCAGCCCACGTTATCTTCTCTCCAATCTAAACCTGATCTAAATTAGGAAGTGAGTTTTATCCCTCACATTTTGGCGCCGACTGTGGGGACGAGATAATTGAATCCTTTACTCCGTAACTTGAGAATGCATCCATCCAACCAGGCAACGAATCCATCTATCCATGATCCAGATTGAAGGACAGAAGATACTCGAATCTTCAAGACCCAGAGCCTCGATCCGCCGATCACCGATCTGAGCAACAGCCTCCGGCTAATGCTCAACCGAACCCGACCGCCACTGGAATAACCAACCCGAGATCCTCCAGTGGAAAAAACTCTGGGGTTACAGCCCCCGAGAACCGTCAGCGTCAACCCGCTCTGAGCCAATCAGAGGCTAAACTATCTGAGATGCGTCGAATGATGGTGCAGTTGGTAGATAGAGCTCAGGAGAATGAGCGTACGTTGCAACAGCTAACTGCTCGGCAGCAACGATTCGAAGAGGTAACCAGATCTCTGACCGAGACAACCCAGCCACTGAAACGTCAAGGCTCGGGAGTCACTTTCCGAGATCGATTGACCGAACCCACGTTCCCTCGCGGACGTCTAGATTTTTCCCCTAACAGCACTGCTCAAGACGGGCAAGAATCTGTTCTCCGGACACCTCATGCTGGAACAACCCCTGCATTCAGTCCACCCGTAACCAGCGCTATGGGAAGTAACATAGCAACAACAAGCTCTACGCCCAATCGGGTTACTGAACAGAGCACACGTTTACCACCTCCGCCACCTGTTTTTAGGTCCGGAGAAGGAATATCTTTCCCTCCTAGGGGAAGAGCATCAGCTTCGACTTATCAAACTGGGAGCGCGATCCGGAATCGAGATGGTCGCCAGAGGACGGAAGCTGATCCAACAGCTCACCCTACTGGTCGCATCCCTCAAAACAACCCTAGAGCTACTGAGCAATTTATCCCACCAAATACTTGGGAGAACGACCAAACTCGACTCCGTCAGGAATCTCCCCGTCAGATTCATGATGACGACCCAACTATCCTTCCTCTAGAGGGACCCGAGGCTATCCGCCGATATATGGTGC